CGATCATAAAATAAAAGAAATGCAGCATTTACAAATGGCGCTTGTTCTCTTATTTTGAAGATTTGTTGAGTCGAAGCATAGAAAACACAACAAATAATTGTAATTATAATGATATTATATTTTATATTAATGAGTAAAATGTGTGTTTTTCATGGAAAATACATCAGAAAACTTACTTATCTATCGATCATAAAATAAAAGAAATGCAGCATTTACAAATGGCGCTTGTTCTCTTATTTTGAAGATTTGTTGAGTCGAAGCATAGAAAACACAACAAATGTGTATATCATTCTATGGTCAAAGCAAATCAAAGCAGCCAATCTGAATCAGAGGAGCCCAAAACTCTGCAATGGATATAACCAAGATATAACGTGTAGGGAAACAAAATTCGCGGGCGGGTGGGCAGGCTGACGCGCGGGCTGACGGGCTGACGCGCGGGCTGACGGGCTGACGCATGAGCGGGCGGGTGGTTTGACGCACGGGCGAGCTGGTGGGTTGGGTGGCGGGCTCACACGTGGATATCCGTCGTCAGGCGGAGCTGGGGGTAGCGGGGCGCACTATGGGAACATGCGGTGCTCCTCCGTCCACGACAACCCTCACATGTAGCATCGCTCGTCAGCCATCACTCACTCCTGCCTCCCCGCACCCGTGACTATGCGACGGCGAGTGGCGCTCTCGTCGTGTTTTGACACGTGTTCGCTCGTTTTGTTCGAATATCTTAGATGGTTTTATTTTGGTGGGCAAGAGCGGTAGCGGCGGTGGCATCGGGGGTAGCTTGGAGACGTAAGGATCCATGGTCAGCCCTGTTGCAACGTCAGTGAGCTACCCTCGGGGTGGTCCAAATACACGCTGCACGATAGTTGTAAGGCTCAGTCTGTGGGAAGGTCAGTAATGCTGCCATGCTCGACCACAGACATCTCTCGTGAGATTTGAAAGAGAAGGATTGTTGACGTTCAGTTGCATACTGTCGTTGTTCATTAACGTAACGAGAGGCGTTTGTGTGGTCGCGCAGTACACCTGCGTGTGCCGATACTGCATGACAATGTCTTCTCTACCTCTGCTAGCCTACAGTACATTGTCCTCTCTCGTGGGTCTACGCGGGGCTTGTCGATTGTTTTGTGTAGGCGATAGATGGACCTAGTCTGGGCGTTGCGGACCATCATTAATCATGAGCAGTTTGCATGCTTCTCACGCACTCTCGTGAATGGCCTTTACACGTATTAGACACTTTTATCGCTTCATAAATTTATTATTAAATTATCATGCATCCTTGAACCGCGGCGGCCGCGCTATGTGGCGGGGCCTTCGGTGAGCAGGAGGTGACCGGTTGTCTGCGGCTCTTTCAGCGTAATCGGGGCGCGCGCCTCGTCCTTCTGACGTCCCACTGCTATGAAAAATGAGCGGAAACCAGGTTTTCTGCAGCGGATAACTCTAATTAGGCGCCAGAATGGAATAAGTGGCGCACGGTGAGGCCTAGAGCATCTTCACGCTGGCGTGTAGCCTCGCACGCGCGCACAAACTTCTCCCCTACTAGCACGCGGTGATGAATGACACGCTCGCTAATGTTTTCTCGCGAACGCGCGTTCTCTCCGTCTGCCAACGATTCTTTCGGAGCGCGAAAGCTCGTTGCTTATCGGTGGCTGCTTACCTATACTCCCGTCTGCATTTGTGAGTCAAACGTCTAGAGTTGAAAAAAAAATCTGATTGCCCCTTTAGGCGAGTCAGGGCTAGCCTGCCTACTTGGCTGCCTGTTTGCCTGCCTGCCTGATGACCGAGGAGCCTGGGCATGCTGGTGAGTTTATAGACAGACCGGCGTCCTGCACCCATTAGCTACGTCTTGTAGGCAATAATTCTTGCGGATAGGCCATAAATTGGCCGGGAAAGGTTTATTTGGCAATTATCAAGTCGTAAAACAGCGGCTAGACGAGAGGCGTGTAATTGGAGAGGTGGGATATAGAGTCTGACCATAGAGTACTCGTCACATGCTCAGCGCTACTTGTATAACTATAAATTACTCGCGCTCAGCACGTTCTCTACGCGGGCTGCAGGGGTTGTAATGACTTTATTGCGCTGCTGAGGAGAGAATAAGTACGTGCGGAGAGAAGGAGTAGACCGCACTGGCGCGCGTGTGTGCGTGTGCTGTTTGTCGCACACCGCTTGCTGTGGTCACACTGACAGGCAACGTGTCACGTAGTCACCGCCGGCCACCTCATCTGTCATGCAGGACATTATAGCGTGTGACAGCAGGCCGCGTGTCACCCGTCCACGGGGAGGTTTAAACACGGGCACGTATATATGCGTACGTGTCAAGCTACTGTACTCTAAAAGGCGCCCAGCATGGTGATTACCAGTATGAGGAGAAAGCTGGGTGTGGCAGTCATCCAAGGCGGTGTGGGAAGTAGTGGGTGGCGGACCGTAGTCAGTTAATAAAAAGACATACGAATACGTAGTTAATTCCGTTACCTATTACCGAATGTAACTTTATTTCTAAATTTCTATTTAACTAATAAAATTTCATGTACTTTATTTGCCGATAGTGCTTGTTAGATATATATATATATATATATATATATTAAGAAAAACTATAAAAACTCATTGTTATTAATATAGCTGCGTTCAATCAATAGCCCCGTTTTATTATTTCCCATCAGAAAAAAAACGTATTTTTAGGTTTTTACCAATATATTAAGATTTTCAAATATACTGTTTCATGATGTTTCACCTGTTAATCCACTGCCACCTTTCTTGGGCGTGCACCCACCACCTGTTTCCTCCTCTTCCCCTCAAGCTCCTTTTTGATACCTGTCCAGATTTGCAACTATACTGTCTGCTCTCTAACCCTCTAACTCTGCTCTCACGCACTGCCTTGCGACTTTACACGCTACGCGATACTCGTGTACGCCGTAACTGACGGCAGACATTTTCTTCTGTGCGCAGAACCGCCCTACGTCTTCGGCAAGCTGGTGCCCGTGGTGGAGGCGCGCGTCGGAGACACCAAGAAGCTACCGTGTCCCGTCGAAGGCTCGACGCCCTTCATCACGTGGCAGAAGAACGGGGAGCAGGTGAATCCGGTCACCTGGGGCAAGCGCTTCAAGATCATCCACCAGGGACTGCGCATCAAGGACATCGTGCCGGAGGATGCTGGCCGCTATCTCTGCAAGGCTGTCAACGGCTTCGGCACGCTGACGATCAATGTCACGCTGGCCGTGCTAGGTGAGTGACCGCTGCCCGGGCGCTTGACCTGTAGTGACCACGATAGAGTCCACTGACTACCTTAGTAAGTTATCCGTGTATACACTCAGGATAGAGTCCACTACCTTAGTAAGTTATCCGTGTATACACTCAGGATAGAGTCCATTACCTTAGTAAGTTATCCATGTATACACGCACGATAGAGTCCACTACCTTAGTAAGTTGCCCCTGTACACACTCTCTCTCTAGTCTGCTACTTGAGTAAGTTGCCCCTGTACACACTCTCTCTAGTCTGCTACTTGAGTAAGTTGCCCCTGTACACTCTCTCTCTCTAGTCTACTACCTGACTAAGTTGCCCCTGTACACACTCTCTCTAGTCTACTACCTGAGTTACAGACTACAGAGTAAGTTGAACATATCCACTCACTCTATAGTCTACTGCCTAAGTGACCACGTAAAACCTCTTACTCACTGTACTAAAAACAACACGTAGCTTTTTACTTTAGATTACTCGTTCGTCGGTTGAGAAAAAGTTCGATCAATCCATTGTATTTTAGCGTTTGTCAGCATGCAAGCAATTCATTGTGGCAGTTATGGCATTTTAAATTAGGGTAACGATTGAACAGCTGTCTAAATCTGTCCGCCTGTCTATCATTCTCTTTATTTAAACGTAGATTCCAGTGTAGACGTGTGCGGATCTTTGTAAGAGCGATGTTGTCTGTCACTCAAGGCTGTGAGTTTGCTCTCTGGCACTCTGTGAACGTGTAACTAGATGGACCATCCCAGTTTGTCTCGTGGCGATCTGGTTTCGAGAAATAATCATTCCGTTGACTGGTTCCGAATTCGTCGCGGTACCTCTTCTTGTGGTCATGACCTGTTCATGCAAAACAGTTGGACCTCATTAGTGACAGTCTACTACATTGCCCTAATTGAAAAAAAGTAGTTGTTGCTGTGGGCAGTTGGTTTACAGAAGGCATCAATTTTCAAGTGGGCAGCATTTTGCAATAGTCGTGCTGTATTGCGGACCGATGACAGCTGAGTGGCAGGCGAGTTGTTGGCCATGATAGATGGGGTTTGACTAAATACACCAAAACCGAGCTCTCAAGCGCCTGAAATGCCCGTTCACGCGACTGCCGTGCCTGACCGTGCAGTACGCGTGTAGTCTCTGTCTGCATGTCGGATACACGTGTAGCGAGCAGCAAGCGAGCGACAACCGCAGCAACGGGAGACGTGGCAATGTCACTCGGCGGTGTGCACGGCCATTGAAAGCCGGCGCAATTAGGGAGGAGTGAGTGTGTATCTCGGAGCAGAATTGCGAGTGTATATTAAAAAGGGTCTATGATGTATCAACTGTGAGTGCACATTGAAAAGAGGTAATAATGGAAGTACGTATTGAAAGGGTGTATGTGTATCGAGTGGTAATATAACTCGGCAACGAGTAAGTATGTATATACATACGTATATATATATATATCACCGCATTACAATATACATAAATAATATAATGGGAATACTATTATCAGAGGACTGCACTACCTGGTACGGCGCCGGGCTACTAGAATTTTGTGAAACGGGCCCTGTCAAACGTGTTGCTTGTGGTACGGAAGATGAGGATTAGAAAAGTCTGGTGCATTAGAGAGGATATGAGCCTACATTCAGCACATTCAATGCTACATAACAAACATAAACACAGCAGACAGCGGTTCACGAACAACACGGCCACTCATGGACGTGAGCTCTCGGCAAAACACGAACAAACAAGTCCTCAAGCTAACGACAGGTAAAAGCGCCCGAATTTCCGCCAGACCAATACCTCGCGCTAAAAACCACTCTCGAAAAGCTGCGGTGACCGAACCAACCGATTCTACATGATCTGTAGCTACCACTGCAGTGCGCTGTGTAAGGACGATCATATATAGATTCACGTGCAACTCGAGAATGCTGACGCAACATGTCGTTCACTTACAGAGACAGCGAAATCGCACTTGAGTTGGATTAGTTGAATGTATGATTGTAAGGAGGCGGTGGCCTTAGAGGGGCGTAGGAAGGTCAACACAAAGCTGGGATAGCTATCACATCCCGAATAGGTTTACACACCAGCCGTCAAGCAATGGATGATCGACTGGCCTGCCGCGACTTACACGTATATCAGGAGCTAATAATGACAAATTATCCTGTTAAAAATATAATATATATATATATATAATATATACACATTAGTAACTCCTTCGCTGACAGCATGTTACCGATGGGATACTAACGGGGAGCAGGACCATGATGGAACACACAGGATGGGAGGAAGGAGGGATGGAGGGATAGGATGGCGACGAAGAAGGAGAGCCGGGATGAGCAAAGCTCGAAAATAAGAAGGCTCAGAGGATAAAGGACATGCGGGATAGATTAAGGGGGAGCGGGCACCGCAGAATGTAGTTCCACGTAGCCGAAACACAGGAAGCAGACCTAGTGTGAAACCTCGCGCAATCAACACAACTGCGCTCCGCCTCCCTCTCCTCGCAAGCTGCTGATTAACTCCTCTGTGCCCAACATTTCTCCGGTACATGTGGCCACCGCCGCTGAGACCACGAACCCAGCCGCAGCAGCAGCCGCAGCAGCGCCCCTGCGGTGAGGCTGCGTCAGCCGGCAACATGAGCTACTCGTTTGGCTTAATTTCGATCTCATTTAGTATGGATTACATACCCCTCGCCCGTTTGAACACCATCCAACATGGAGGACATTAGTCTCAGCGTGAACGCTCATTATGGAGGCACCACCATGGTGCGTGTGTGGCCCGCCCGCATGCCGCGCCGTGTGTATGTAGTGTGTGTACATTTTATTTGTATTTACGTGTGTGTGTGTGTGTGTGCTGTGTAGGCTGTGCTGTGGCGGGTGTGTTTCAGTCGTGGTGTGCCCGCCGCTGCGCGCCGGTGCGTGTAATTATGGTATGAGGTGTCGGAGTTTGTGTTTCGTGTATGTGTGCGTGTTGCGTGGCGTGTGTTCGTAGTGCGTTGGTGCCCGCCCGCGGTAGGGCGCAGCGCGAGTTGTTGTGTGTGTGTAGTGGTGTGTGATGTGCTTGTGTGTGTGTTGTGTGTGGTTGTGTGTGTGTGTGTGGTGTGTGATGGGAAGTGTGTGGTAGTGATGTGCGTGACGTCGCGTGTGTCAGCGAGTGTGTGAGTCGCGAGCGCGTATAGTGTGTAGTGTGTGTTGTGTGCATGCGTGGGTATGTGACGTGGTGTGCGGCGTCGGTGGCGGTGCGGTGCACTGGTGTGCGAAGAGAGAGGTGCAACAAGGAGAGAGAGCTGGGAGCGTAGGTGCAAGAAGCGCGACATCCTGCCAAGAACACGTGCGACCAGCCGATGGAAAAGGAATCTACGAACAATATTTTCGTTCCATTCAGCCAAAGTGGATGTGGGATCGTAGGGAAACAAAATATTTACGCTGCTCTGAATGGCACTGTACTCGATTTTGTACTTAGAACAGAACTGGCTCCGCCTAAAAAGGCCCCTGCTCCTCGCATAAGGCCTGTTGTTGTGTGTCCGTATGCGCGTGCGTGTGGGGAGAGGGGGCGAGAGCTGCAAATACCCGGTGCGTCAGTGGTCAAAGCGCCGTGAAACGCGTTCAATACCCGTGAAGTTTCCCATTCGCAGCCATGCCTCTAGCTAAGCGGACTGCTCGCTCACCCATAGTTCGCCAATGCACCTATTTGATACGCCTATAATATATATAGTTATATATATATATATTATATATATAATATATATAT